ACTTGTTGACATTAATTTTTACTTGTTGACATTAATTTTTACTTGTTGACATTAATTTTTACTTGTTGACATTAATTTTTACTTGTTGACATTAATTTTTACTTGTTGACATTAATTTTTACTTGTTGGCGTTGATTAATGTTAGTTGGTATTTGTTGATGCTAGTTTACATTGATTGATGCTAGTTTACATTGATTGATGCTGGTTGACACTGAAATAATTTTTGTCATGCTACCTTTACATTTGGAATGACATGCAACTCTACTCTAATAATGAGGTTCAATTTGGAAATCCCATTGCTATTCTTTGATGTATTCAAGTTTTCTAGGTGGCATGTATCTTGTTTTACTGGGGAGGGCTTACAAATATGTGAGAAATATAACAATTTGCCATGATAGGATGTGTCTGTATTTGTCTGTAAATGTTCCAAATTTGATCATGTTTTCAAGTTACTTAGAATTTGCTAGACGAATTATATTCTTAATTAACAAAATAATGTTATGCAGATTTTTAATAAGATAAAGCTCTTGGTAGACCTTCTTTTTGTGTGGTAAGAACTTCTATATATGGTTATCAGTATCATGTGCCTATATTCAGCTGTAACTACCATTGCATTCTCATTTATAATGCTGTTATTCTTCATCCATAGATGTAGCAGAAAACAATGCAATGCCCACAGAAAACTCTCATTCTAATCTACCAAATCAGACTACAGTTGATGAGATGGATGAAACGGCTGGCTCATTGGCTGAGAATGCCATACCGTTCTCCTATACGTGTATTCTACAGAAGGATGCATTCTTGGTTTTCCGCTCACTCTGTAAACTTTCCATGAAACCTTTACCAGAAGGACCAGCTGATCCCAAGTATGTACAAATCTCACCATTTCTTCATTGGAGTTGATTTAGACGGCATAATGAGAAATTCTATACGCTGTGATAATAATTGATATACATGTGCATTTGTGCATCCAATTTAAGCTCGACTTGCATGTTTTGATTTCATTTAAAACGTAGTACATTTATAGAAAGTTTATGGGACTTTGATGCATAGTATTTCAGTGTTTTTTCTAGAAAAAAACTGCAAGAGGAAGCAATGCAATACAGCTGTGCCACCTATTGGGGGAAATAGGGTTCTCCCTACCAGGGTGTGGAGTTTTTGATAATTCTAAGTTAAAATGGAGCATTCTATGGCTTCCTTGGGGCCAAAATTACTATCGGACAGGTCACAGTTGAAGACCACATGGCCACATGTGATCCCTGGTCAATCAGAATTTTATGATTGCCAGACGATCTGCTCCCCAGGGTAAGAGGGCGCATGGCCATGGCATGAGGGCGCTGCGCCCCTGTTCCCTTGTTTAAAAAAATCCCTGGTATTTCATTTTATGGATCCAATCAAAAATAGATTATTGGCTGCCTTATATTGTATTAAAAAAATTATGTTTCATCGCCATGTCTCTGACATGAATTACCCGATCATGTTCATATTTTGTGCCTACAATAGGACACATGCAAATACTTTGTTCTTTGTGATTTAGACCACACTACCTAATTGTTTAGTTTGAGATGGGAGTGAAATATACTTTTCTGTTACAAAAATAAAATGATGATAGTGGCACTTAATGCCTCCCACATGCACATGTACATTTACAAAGATACTGAAAAACATGTTGAAAATGACATAATAGCGAAATGTTGATTTAGCGAATCTCTCTTGTCATTGTTGATTCCCTGTTTTCGCAATACTTGTCTGTTTCGTGCCAAAACAAATGCGCAGTCATTAGCGACATCTTGAATTAGCGAATCAGTTCTCTCGCTAAAAAGACCTTGCTTGCGAAAAAAACATGTTTTACAGTAGTCTTACTTTAATTGTTTCTAATGTCATTACCATTTCAGATCCCACGACCTGAGGTCTAAAGTGTTATCTCTGCAATTGTTGCTGTCCGTTCTACAAAACGCTGGTCCAATCTTCAGAACCAACGAGATGTTTATTAACGCCATCAAGCAGTACTTGTGTGTAGCGTTATCTAAAAATGGTGTGTCTTCAGTTCCTGAAGTCTTCGAGTTATCACTAGCAATATTCCTAACCCTACTTAGTAACTTCAAGACGCATCTGAAGATGCAGATTGAGGTAAGATAATTCATTCGGGTGATTGGTTACAATCTTTATTAACATAGGCTCCAATTTTTTTATTGTGTATTTTTCATATTTTTGTATGTACTATATAATAAAAACTTAATAATAGCAAGTAAAACCAAAAAATAGTCATAAATAAACAAGTATGAAAAAAAAAAAAAAATTGAGTCTATAATTAGACTGATTTTTTCAGAAATACAAATTTGTGATTCAATGAGTTAACCTTCTATAGGTTTCACTCCACAATTGTGATCTCCTGTATTTTGACAACATTTGCAAAAAATAGTATGCTTGAAATTGCAGTAGGAAGTACTCACCTGGATCAACTTTATGACTTTTTCACCACCAGCTCCCTCTTTTCATCACAAATTCACAAAGTAGACCCCTTTATAGTTTGAACTTTCCTTCAGAAGATGAGGACAAAAAAAGTTTTTTTTAATAATACCTGAAAATTGACTCAAATTTTGTCTGTCTGCTCCAAAATTAAGGCTCATTTCCAAAAATGTGAAGAAACAAGTGCGAGAAAGTCTGGTGGTAAATAGGTTAAATATTGCCAGTATACTCCAGGGCTGTTTATCTCAGTTTTGGGAGTTCAACTTCTGTGAGAATAATGTTTGATTTTAAAATCTAGACACATCACAATATTTTAAGCACTTGACTCACTCGCTGTGTGTAAAATAGTCCCTCTATTTCAGAATCTTCAAATTAATACAAAAACTAAACACCCAATACTTTTGTCACCTTGTCCAAAAGTACCTGGATCATTTCTTTCGAAAGTCATCAAGACTTGTTGCTAAGTCAAAATTACATCCATTTGGTCCAAATATATCGTAACCCCCAAAATATGAAAATTGTTTTGGCAGAAAAAATGATGGCATTCAGAGGATGTAAGGACAAAGTCATTATAGCTCTTAATATCTTGAGGACTGAATGGTTTCCTTCTCTGCTGCTCCATGACAGTTTTGATGTGAACACTACCACTTTGAATACAATTACCGGTATACAAAATGCATTCCACTAACCTAGACAAAGTATTATTTATTATAACTCCACTACTTACTATTTGGCAGGTATTTTTCAAAGAAATCTTTTTGAATATTCTGGAAACTGGTACAAGTTCATTTGAACACAAATGGATGGTGATCCAAGCCTTGACAAGAATATGTGCAGGTATGATCTTTACTACATTCTATTCACCTTTGTGAATTTCTGTTGTGAGTTAATTTTGTTCACTCACTCATCTTCTCTAAAATGGTTGTACAATCATCAAGTTTTGTTCTACATAATTTTGGGATTTCCCTCAACATTTCAATTTGTCTTGAACAAATTAATAGTAGTTAATGTTGACATTTTTTTTTGCTGAATGAAAAACTAAATCAAATAAATGGCAGGCAAATCAAAATTTAAGAAGTACCTTAAAGTTTATTAACTTGTTTCCATGGAAACAATGACTTACGATTTTCCTATAGCATTGAACTCTTCTTTGGTGGTCAGTTTGGATTTGAAAATTAGAAAAATACATACAATTGAGGTTGAAGTTTATTCACACATAAAAAAAAATTTAGCATAATTTCACGACTCCAAAATTATTTTCTTAGATCAACATTTTCTATCTGAGAACACAAATATAACTTCATTTGTTATTTGATGCTTAACACATCATCTGTGGAGTTTTTTATACAATATGCAATCTGTGACTATTGGAAGTGTCTGTGTGTTAAAACCAAGAACTTGACTAGAGACTAAAAAACTGTCTGGCTTATATATGCATCTTGTACATATTTATTTCAGATGCTCAATGTGTTGTTGATATTTATCTGAACTATGACTGTGCACTGGCATTGGCCAATATCTTTGAGAGATTAGTTGGTGATTTGTCTAAGATAGCCCAAGGTAGACAGGCTATAGAGTTGGGGGCTACACCACAGCAAGAAAAACGTATGCGGATCAAAGGGCTGGAGTGTTTGGTGTCTATTTTAAAATGTATGGTCGAATGGAGTAAAGAATTGTATGTTAATCCAGCAATGCAGACAAATCTAGGTAAGTCATTTATAGGAAATAATTGGCGTATTGGGGGGGAAAAAGTGATTCATTTGTAAACCCGTGTTGGTTTGTGGACTGCAGCTGAGGCAAA